AGATTATTCTAGTTTAGGACTCTTTTTTTTATGTCCTTGATTTCTCCAGTAACATTTACTGGTAGGGCTGGGAAGGTGGCTCAGTGGTAGAGCACATGCCTTGCATGCCAGAGGCCCTGGCATATAAGCAAAAAGAAAAAAGCCGGAAGTGGCGCTGTGGCTCAAGTGGTAGAGCGCTAGCCTTGAGCTGAAGAGCTGAGGGAAAGAGCCCAGACCCAGAGTTCAGGCCCCATGACTGGCAAAAAAAAAAACCCCAAAACAAAAAAAACAACAACATTTACTGGTCTTTCTATTTTCTATCTAGTATATAATAGTTAGATAATGATAACTATTCATTGTCAGCTATTCTACTTTGACTAATTAATACTGTTACAGTATCTTAACTAAGCCAGATTTTACAGGTATGAAAGGAATAAACAGAAAGCCAAAGCTCTAACTTAATTGAACTTCTCCAAGACTGAAATTTAAAGAAGTTATTTAGATTAGGCATTAGAGTTCCTGAGGAAAGTATCTGAAACTACTATCTCTTGGATCTACCCATTTGTTGGAAGATTTCCACTTTGACCCCTAGTGTCATAAGCAGAAATGTTAACTTTTTAAGGTGAAGGCTGTTTACTTGACTGTAGTGAATCAGAGAGTATATAGGTTGATTGAAGAACTTCATCTGAATAATGAAGTTGGAGGTTCTCCTATTGATTACTACTATTACTTCAGATAAGACATTTTTTCTTTACTTGCTTCAGTTTCCTTATCTGGCTGGATTAGATTTCCAAAGGATATTTTCATGTCTGAAATTCTTCATTTTTTTTTTCATTGAGACTTTTACACACATACTCTATCCTCTCTGCTGTGGCTAATGAAAGAGATTCAGTGAATCTCTAAGTTGTTATTATGTGGGGAGGCTATGAAAACATAATTATGGGAGGGTTGAAGAGACTAGATGAATAGCTTTATTTAACATCACTGTATGTGATCATAAGTTTTCACATCTATATAGATTGGAGGGATTTTTTTTTTTGGGTCCAGTTGTGGGGCCTGAACTCTGGGCCTGGGCGCTGTCCCTCAGCTCTTCAGCTCAAGGCTAGCGCTCTACCACTTGAGCCACAGCGCCACTTCCGGCTTTTTTCTTTTTGCTTATGTGGTGCTGAGGAATCGAACCCAGGGCCTCAGGCATGCAAGGCAAGCGCTCTACCACTGAGCCACCTTCCCAGCCCTGGAGGGATTTTTTTTAATTTTTAATTTTATTTTTTTATCTTTAGTTGTACACAGGGGTTTCAATTCAACATCAGTTTGTGAATACAAATGTATCTTTTTTATTTTTTTATTTTTTATTATCTTTATTTGTACAAATGGATTTTAACATTCAGTTTATTAGTACAGTGCATCTTGATCAATATCATCCCTTTCATTGATTAGAGTTTTGATTAAGGATAGTTAAGGTGGTGGGCAGAAATGCGTATTTCAATAACGAGATTATTTTGTATAGTATTCAAGGGCTAACAAGCATGAAAATAGGGAAACAGAAATCTCAGGAGATAGTTTTAATCAGCAAAATTTAGTTATTTACTTTTGGGTATAATATACCAAGTCTCTTGTGGTGTCTCTTGTGGTGTCTTGAAACTTCATAATTGAGGAAAATGGAGAGAGAATAGAGAATGAATTATTGATAATCTATGAGTTGGATATTTTGTTAAACCTCTACCATTTGCTGGCATTTAAACTAATTTTCATGAGTCTAAATTTCTGTAATCTTGATTCCTTCTCATTTTCATGTCCTATGTTCTATATTTTGCCTATTTATATAGTCTTGGGCAAGTTAGTGTGCAATTAACTTATTCATAAAATCTGTTTGCTGATGTATATCTATATACTCTTGTACTCTGGTGTTATAATGGAAAGTGCTTCTGAGTTCTCATTGTATATTGTTCAGTACTGTAATTCTCCTTTTTCTGCATTATTATTTTTTCCCTCTCAACTTGATATTTTCTTTTACCACAAGAGTATTTTTTTTCCTTCTTAAAAAAATCTTTTTGGTGGGGGGGAGGGGGGAGGCTGGGAAGGGATGTGAAGGGTAAACCAAAGGAGGAGGCTGCAATGCTTGGTAAGAAATGTGCGCATTATCCTGCCCATGTAATTGTAACCCCTCTGTACAGTATGTTCACAAATAAAAATAAATAAAAAAAATCTTTTTGGGTACTATTTTCCACATTTAACAGTAACTATTTCCTTTTCAGTAAAAACAATGCAGAGGGGTTGAATATACTTTATTATCTCCTCTTACCCTTTCATAAATCCATTCTAATGAAGCTTGTGCTTAAACTACTTCATTGAAACTTGTGTAATTATTAATGGCGGATGATTGTTCCCTTTAAAACATTTTTCTTGCTACACTTCCAGAAAACTACATGCTGTTGGTATGTCTTCTGCATCACCTGACATGCCTTTGCTGATTCTTTTCCTCCACTATTTCATGTTGTACTCTAAGCCTCAGTGTTTGGACCTCTTTGTTCTCTACCTGTTCTTCCACTTTCTTGGGATTACATCCATTCTTAGTGTTTAAGTATCACATCTTTGTGATAATCCCCCAAATTTATAATTTATGCCCATATCTATCTTGTATATCTACATAGGCAACTAAAACTTAATGTGTGCAAAACTGAGCACTCCTACAGGCATGTAAATTTCTTCTAGTTGCTAGGGCAAAAGCTTTAGAGTCAGCCTTGGCTACTTGCTCATTAAAAAATTTTTTTTTGGCTGACTACACCTACAAAATGTAAAAATAGCCACAAAATTTGACCATTCTGTACCACTTTTCTGTCATCCCAGGCCATATCACTATCAACTCTACCCTGGATTGTAGTTCCTACATTTGGAACCTATTCTGTAACACTTCAACCTGTAGAAACATAGCTTAGATCATCATTCCTATAAAACTTTCAGTGAGTTCTTTGTCTCTTGCAAAATAAAAACCAGTATCTTTGCAATTGCCTACCAGGACCTTATATGACTAGGCCTATCATTATTTTTCTTGGCCTCATCTCCTACTATTCTTCTTTTCACCTATCCAATTCTATTATTCTTATTTGCTATCTAAATATATCAGCACCAATTGCTGTTTCTTCTCTTTAGAAAATTCTAAAAAATTATTATCAGTGAAGCCTTTTCTGACTACCTTTTTGAAAAATAATATGTAGAAACTAATTTTTCTTTTTTTATTTAATTTAATTTATTTTTTTTTTTGGGTCCGGTCGTGGGGCCTGAACTCTGGGCCTGGGCGCTGTCCCTCAGCTCTTCAGCTCAAGGCTAGCGCTCTAGCACTTGAGCCACAGCGCTACTTCCAGCTTTTTTCTTTTTGCTTATGTGGTGCTGAGGAATCCAACCCAGGGCCTTGAGCATGCAAGGCAAGCGCTTACCACTGAGCCACCTTCTCAGCCCCTAGAAACTAATTTTTCTACATTCCCCCCATCCTTTCTCTATTTTTCCATAACATTTTAATTTATACCCAACATAATTATATATTTTGGTTATTTTGTTTGTCTCTTCCTACTTACACTATGTACTCCATTAAAGCAGAATTGTCCACAATTGTCTAGAACAATGCTTGGCAATGAGCGAATGGATGAATAGTAGCTAATTTGTAGTATTCTTGTACTTACAGGAAGTATTCTGTGTTCACTTTTATTATTACCGTAACATATCCATGGACAGTCTTATAGGACATAAACATGAAGATTTAGTTGGGATGCCTGATATACTATCTTCTATCAGCCCAGTTTTGATTAGAAAAGCTACTAAGGAATAACCTTGGTGATAATTCTCAATGTTTAGATTAGTTGGAGGTTCCTTAGGAAATCTTGGTAATCAAGATCCTTTATAAGGAAAAAGAATATCCAAAATGAGAAATATTAAAAATATCACCAGGAAAAACTGCTATTCTTTACTTGCCCAAATAGTACACATAAGAGGAATTTCATAAGGTAAAATTAAACTCAAAGTGTACAATTAGTCCCTCCCTCCCTCCTTTCGTTTCTTCTTCCTCCCTTTTTTTATTTCACTTCCCTCTATTTATTTATGTATATATGTATGTATGTATGTATGTTACTGTTTTTTGTTTGAGGCCCAGGTCTTATAAGTAATCATCCTCCCTCAGATAGACTCCCAAGTAGCTGGGGGCTATGAGCATATCATGTATTTGGCTAGTGTTTTCTTTTTCTTTTCTCTTTTTTGTTGGTCATGGGGCCTGAACTCTGGGCCTGGGCACTGACCCTCAGCTCTTCAGCTCAAGGCTAGTAGTGCTTTACCACTTGAGCCACAGTGCCACTTCCGCTTTTTCTTCTTATGTGGTCCTGAGGAATTGAACCCAGGGCCTCATGCATGCAAGGCAAGCACTCTACCGCTGAGCCACCTTCCCAGCCCTAGTGTTTTCTTTTAAAAAATGAATTTAGCTGAGTGTGATGATGCGTGCCTGTAATTTCAGCACTGATGAGGCAGAGGCAGGAGTTTTCACATATTGAGTTTCAGGTCAGTTCCATTGCAAGTTTCTGACTATATAGGGAGACTATTGCAAAAACAAATCAAATGTAACAATAACAAAACCACAACTCTCAAAAAGCAAATAAAAATGAATATTGAAGTTTTTAGTAAATGGTTTAAAATTTTTTCATAATGAAAAAATAGCTTCCTAATCAGAAATAGTTATTTTTAAAAATATGTGATATCTCAGTTTCACATATATTTTTGTTGGTTGTGTGTGGTGTGGTGGTGGGGTAAAGGCTTGTATTAGGATTAGTAATCATTACATAGCAATCTAAAGCTGTAGCCATCTATAGCTTTCATGTGTTATAACTGTCATGGCAGGAGCTTAGAAAGTTTTATTGGGCTAATTTTTGTTTCAGGAAGACTATAGATTTAATGGATAGCTAAGATCATATACTTTCGTTAATTATTAACATTGCATTTCCTGTACTTAATAATTTAAGCTATCATTTTTATTGTGGTAGGCTCATAGCTGGCAACCTGGAATAAAAAATCCATACCGTGGTGTTGTTGTTTGGCCTGTTCCTGAAAACATTGAAATCACTGTAACACTTTTTAAGGTCAGTACCATTTTTTCTTACTATTTTTTATGGATTTATTATATATTCATGATTTTAAATAAAATTTCAACACATTGGTATTCAGTATGGTATCTAATGCACATTATTTTGTAGGGATAAAGCAATTTATAACATTGCAAAGGAATTACATTATGTTATGGTTTACAGTTACTTTAAGTTGTTAACATCTAAGGTCAACTGAGATACCTCTGTCATAGTCTGTGCACAGAAAATGTTAACATACTTTTCCTGTGGAAAACTGAAGTTTGTAGAATTTTTCTTTGCTAGCCTTGTTTAATAATTTGCATGTAACTACTTTAGTAATTTGCTAATGACTACTTTACTAAATGTAATAAGATTTTTAAAAATTGCTGTTTGGGAGGGAGGATTGGGTGAGGGGACGGGAGGAAGCTGGGAAGGGATGGGAAGGGTAAACAAAGGAGGAGGCTACAATGCTTGATAAGAAATGTACTCACTATCTTGCCCATGTAACTGTAACCCCTCTGTACAGTATTTTCACAATAAAAAATAAAAAAATTGCTATTTGGCAAATTTGTTGATGTTCATAAATGTTATAACTTAAAAGTAAAATACTGGTTGTAAATTTGAAATGCAGATTTAAAAATATAACTGTTCTTATGCCTTTCTGCTTGTTTTATATGGGATTTTTTTTCTTGGAAGTCTTACATATTATTTGATATATTATCAAATAGTCTTAGCACATCTTGTAATTAAGCCCTAGAGTATTTGCTTTCCTAACACATTCTTTTCCAGCTCCCGAAGTCGGATGGGAGAGAAACAATATCTTGGTTTTAGCATTTTAGGTAGAGAATTAGAAAACAATGTTGTTTCTTTTTTACATGATTCAAAATATGCTGAAGTTATTTTTACAGTAGACAAGAGGAAGTAGAGCATCACATTAAACATAATTTGGTAATGTAAAGTTTGGAAAAGTCCACCAAATATTTAGAGCAATGTAAAATTATAGCTTAGAGAGTGAAGTTGCTGTATGGAAAAGTGATTTTGATTTTGTAAGCCAGTATATTAATTCATTTGGTGTTAGATTTTTTTCATCTCTGTGGAAAATACCTAAGAGAAACATCTTAAAGATTTATTTTGGCTCTCAGTTTCAGAAGTCTCAATCCATGGTTGCTTGCCTCCATCACAGGCCTGGGGTGAGGCAGCCTATCTTGGTAGAGAGGCAATACTGGAGTGGAACTGCTCACCTCATGGCAACTAAGAAGCAAAGAGAGAGAGAGAGAGAGAGAGAGAGAGACAGACAGACAGACAGACAGACAGACAAACAAAGGAATAACCCCGGGACAAGTTATGTGCTTCAGAGGCACACACCTAGTAACCTTCTTCCTCCAGGGTGGTTACAACTTTAGGAGGTAGGGACTTCCTAAAATACCACCTCCTAAAATACCACAACCAGCTGGGGAACTAGCCTGTGGATATATTTTATATTCAAACCATAACACATACATTTATTCAGGAAGTATTACAGAGAGCAAAAGAACAAAACAGTGTGGTAAATGCTAATGTAGTAGCACATAGATGGAATAGTATTTTTAAACATTCTGTGTTTCATAGATCCTCTTATCTAAGAGTCTTAATACAGTATGTGTATTTGTTAGTTTTTATATTGTATAATTGACATTAAAATGTAGCTTGATTATCTTGTTGTATATGTTACACATATACTTCTCTCTCTCTCTCACTCTTCTCTCTCTCTCTCTCTCTCTGATTTGCTTAGGGAGAAATAAGGGAGGAGACAGTATATTCTTTTTGTCTTCAGGTTGGTCAGAACCACTTTATTGTTAGTTTACCAGTTGTCCTAAAAACCTATTATTATACCTGTCTTGTCTATAATTTTCCTATTGGAATGATACAAAAGCTTCATAATTAAAAGCAGTAATTTCAGTCTCTAGTTCATTAGTTCATTTAGTTCTCAGAGTATCCATAAGGTTCTGTAGTTATTCTTATTTTATGGATAAGGAAGATGAGACTAGAAAGGATGGTAACTCGCTGAAATGCCCTGAATTTGCCATGTTCTTTCCTCTATACTGTCTACTTCATGTAACAACTTACAAATGTCAACTACAATAGCAAGATCTCTGATATTCTTGAAGGAAGACATTTAAGTAATCTCTTGAGTATTTTGACTTAGTGTGTTGTTCATACCGGCAAAACAAATGAATGGATATGGTTATATAACTTTCAAAGGAAATGATGACAAGCGAACAAGGGATTAGCATAGAACTGAAACACAGCTGATAGCCATGTGTTTGGGGAAAGGATATGCACTGCCTGAGTCATTCATAGTTGGAAGTGACTATTGAAATGTGCAGCTTGTATAGGATTAAAGGTATATAGTTTTTGAGTATAGATGAGAATGTTCAGGCATATCCTTATCAGTGAACATTTATGTCTTTGAATGTTAGGAAAACAACAAACACTTTCTAGCTTATGATAATAAAGATTTCTTCTCAGTTATACTATTGGGAAACATTGAGATTATTTTCAATATTTACATGAGAATTTTCAACTGATGCTTTTTATTTCCAGACTCCCTCATATCCCCAGAATTTTACTAGAAAAGCAGATAAGTAACACAGAAAAATGAAACAACTTCATTTATTTCATCGTAATTTTTTGGATCCCATTGTTTAACAGTTTTTCAAATGAAAAAATTCTTTATATTTCCCTCTTCCTTATACTAAGTTTCACAATTTGCTTAATCTTGAAGTTTGCAAAGGGCTGCTTGGATTCCTTGTCTTTACTGGAGCATTCACAGAGGTAAACTTAGAACAATGCTTTTGAAGAAAGCTATCACTCACTGTATTTCATTTTTCTATGTCTTAAGTAGAACTTAGTTTCTTTTTTTTTTTTGTTGGTCATGAGGCTTGAACTCTGGGCTTGGGTGCTGTCCCTGTGCTCTTCAGCTCAAGGCGAGTGCTCTACCACTTGAGCCACAGCGCCACTTCCAGTTTTTGAGTGGTTTATTGGAGCTAAGAGTCTCACAGACTTTCCTGCCCGGGCTGGCTTTGAACAGTGATCTTCAGATCTCAGCCTCCTGAGTAGCTAGGATTACAGGCATGAGCTACCGATGCCTGGCTAGAACTTAATTTCTTATATGCTTCGATCTAAAGTCTGAATTTTATTGAAAATTATTGTTTCTAGTAAAGTTTTTTAAATGCTTTTGGATTTTGAGAAGAAAAAAAATAGCTGTTAAGCCATTTTGATTCTTCTTTTAGTACAGTAGTAATAAAGGAGACCATAGAGGGTAAGTAGTAAATAAAGAAGACTTAATTGATTCCAGCAAGAAGCCATTCTCATTAAGAGTGTTTTTGTCTGGTCAGTAGTATAAATATTTAATTATGTAAAGATGCAATTTTTTTAAGATGCAATTTTTTAAATACCTTTAGAATGAACATTATTACTACTACTTTCATATCTTCTTCCTTTCTTTGCCCTATCAGATGTTTCTTGGATCCATTGGAATTGTTCATTAGTGAAATTTTTTTTTAGGGATAAATTTTTTAGGTTTTTTTTTTTTAATGTTTCATTTGCTTTAATGTTACTGTTCAATATTTGCCGATTAAGCTATTTGTAAATATTCTTGGAATCCTGTTATGTTGTCAGGTACTTTTCTTGATCCTAATGACACAGATTAAACTGAATGTGCAAACTAGGTAAAAGACATAAAAGTGCAACACAGCCATTTTTTTTTTCTTTTTTCCCTCTTTTGTCATTCCTGGGATTGGACTCAGGGTTTTGCATTTGAACTACTACTTAATCTGTGCCCTCACTTGCTGTCATTTGTTGTTTTTTTTTTGAGATAGGGTCTTGCTAACATTCTCTCTGGGCCATTCTTGACCTTGAAATCCTGCCCCTGCCTAGCTAATAATGGATTATAAATGTATGCTGCCACAGTCGATTTGCAGCATACCTTTTAACATTTAGTTGTGTTCTTTTGGTTTCTGTTTTCTGTGTCATTAAGTGGGCATAAATCATTTAGCAGAATAACGGGGACATGGTGAGTGCTCAGTAAATATTTCACCTTATTATTAATTTGATACTAGTTGTGCTTAGAGCTTTATTGTCCCCAAAACAAAAGGATGACCTAGAGGACAGTAGGATGTCTTTCCCCAGCATTGTATCACATTTTATTAGTCGCTAAAGTATCATTGGTTATGCTCTGAATGCATCATAAAAAAGTCAGACAAAGCCCGCTAGGGAAACTATTTTTCTATTCTACCCTGCCCTATCATTCTCCTGCCTGTAATTACCTAAGCAATAAGACAGATTTTTGTCTTATCTGAGTGAATTTACTCATAAAAATACAGCTCAGACTATGTGAGCCAGTTACCATGTTACTATAGTAAAAAATAAAGTAATGGAAATAAAGAACTATGGAATTCGGGATTTATCTCATAATGTTTATGCTGCATTAAGGAAATCTAAGTTATACCAACATCAATATTATCAAAACTGTGGTTTAGAAATATTGATCTGTCTATGAGATTAAATGGAAAAGCAGATTAAGTGAGAGACTACTATAGCTACTTTTAGTTGAAATAATAACCCTGGCATAACTTAACTGTGGCCATAGAAACAGAAAATTAGTAGTAGACTAAAGTAGAATCAATTATATAAGATGCTTCCCTGTGAGAAGCATATGAGACCTAAGACCCTTCCCGTCTGTGTTAGTTTAATCTTAGAATAGAATATTGAGCCAAAAGCTTGCTCTATTGAATTCTCTCCATATCTTTAACCTATCCTATCTTTAGTGCATGAAATTGAATGCATATTTAAAATGACTCTACATACTCAAATATCAGTGGAAATCTTATGTAATTTAGGTAATCCAGAGGATTTCTCTTGTGAGAGTTTTGTCTGTTAATTCCTGCAAGATGTATTGTGTTTTTTAAAAACACTTCTGGCAAAGCTATTTCTTTCATTGGCCATGTATTTAAATAAATACAATGTCTAGAGTTGTGTGTGTGTGTGTGTGTGTGTGTGTGTGTGTGTGTTTGAAAGCAAAAACAATTATGTTTGAATCTGTAGAATCCCTCTACAGTCTTGTATATAATAATATATTTGACAAGTAAATACCTGCAAATTAATTCTCCTCCTCTTCTTCCTCCTCCTCCTCCTCTTCATCTTCTTCCTCCTCCTCTGCCACCTCTTCTTGCTCCTCCCCTTCTTCCTCCTCTTTTATTTAAAGGTTATATTGAAGATTATAACCTTTTCTGCAGTGTCATGCATTTCCTTAATGGGGGAGAGGGAGAAAAGGGTATTGAAAGCCCATGTTGACGTGCCATTTTGTCTAGATTATGAAATGCTTTGCAGTACATAGACATTCCAGGTGGTTATATAATTTCATTGAAAAATACTGTATTTGGGGGGGGGAGGGATTGGGACTGGGGGGGAGGCTGGGAAGGGATGTGAAGGGTAAACAAAGGATGAGGCTGCAATGCTTGGTAAGAAATGTACGCATTATCCTGCGCATGTAATTGTAACCCCTCTGTACAGTAAGTTCACAAATAAAATAAAAAAAAGAAAAATACTGTATTTGAAATGATACATTTAGTTCTAAATATATACAGGTGTAAAAATGAGGACAGTTTTATATGACCACTTTTTAAAAAATAATAAAATACTTTTTAAAATAGTTCATTAACTAGGTTATCTTTCTCCAGTCAGATAAAAGTAAAATAGAGAATTTCATTTTTTTAGTGGTACAAGGGTTTGAACCCAGAGCCTTGTCCTTGCTAGGAAGGAGCTCTACTGCTCTACTCACCTTCTTGAATATATAGGATTTTAGGTGTAAGTCGCTGAGTCCTGCTGAGAATTTCTTAATATAATTAATTTAAATTTAGAAAAATTATGGAAGTATCCAAGAAGAAAGCTATTTTGTCCCTGCCTTTTTAAAAAAGTTAGTAAAAGCTAAAATGTAAGATTATTTGCATTTTATTAATGGAATTGACTGTATTAACATTTATTTCAATTTCATGTTTTGCTGTTGTTACAGGATCCGCATGCAGAGGAATTTGAAGACAAAGAGTGGACATTTGTCATAGAAAATGTAAGCTAATGGCAAATACCCTCAGCTTTTCATATTTTCACTTTATTTATATGCTTATATATTGTTATGATAAATGAGCATTTTGGTAATAGAAACATTGTCTTACAAAAATTTAATGAGTAATATGTAAGTTTTAGAAGTTCTTGAATGAAATAATAACCAATAGCAGAATTATCTTTTGTTAAAACTGTAAGAATCTTTAATACTAAATCATATTGTTTTGGACTTGAGGGAAGAATCATATCTTTTTTATTTTATCTCTTCAGCATATCACATTTAACAGATTTTCATTTAAAACATTGTTGAAAGAAAGACCTTTGGAAGCTTACAAAATAAAATATGCACTTTTTGTCTTTATTTGGATTGAGAGATTAGTGCTTTAGTAATTATCTTAATTTATATATTTAGAATACCCGGAGAGTAGCAGTTATACAGCAGGTATTCAATAAATGTTTATTAGATTGAGACATCAATTCTACATACCTAGTGACTCAGGAGTCTGAGATGGAGGATTGTGGTTCAAATTTAGCTGAGGCAAAAGTCTGTGTGACTTCATGTCAAAAATAACTAGCAAAAAGCAGAGTTGAAAGTATGGCTAAAGTAGTAGAGCACCAACCAAAGAAACTAACTAAGCAATTGCAAGGCTCTTAGCTCAAACCCTAGCATTGGCAAAAAAGAAAAGAAAAATAACTAAATAAATAGACAGGTAGATATTTATTGACAGAGGTAGATATTTATCGACCAGGAATTAGAGAAAAAAGGTGCTAAAACTATAGTGATTAAGACAATAGGCTTTGATGTCAGACCTCATTTCAAATTGTAGCTCTTCTACCAAGCTTGTAATCATGGAAAAGTTTCTTAACTTGTGGCATTAAGTAATTCTTACTGAATATTATCTTTACCATTGCTGTTGTCATTATCATCATCAACAAAGTTCTGAAGCATAGCTATAACAGGCTATGCTTTGCATTATATTCTTCCATTCTTCCTTTCTTACTTGGCTTTGTTTTATGATTAAAAAAACAAAGAAACAAACTTAACTTTTCTCATTAGTATTTGTACCATTTTCAGAACTAAAGAGCTGGGGAAGATCAAGACCAGGTCCAAATACAGTAGGGGACTCTGATATCTAAAAATTAAGCCATTGTCATCATATTAAAGGTTTATACTTTTCTGCAATGATAGATTTGAACGATATGCTTGAAGTAGCATATTAAAGATTAAAGAAAAATCTTTGGTTTATTGAAATAGAATGTAGACTCATACTAACAATCTCATATCAGAAACTCACATCATATACATATCAAGAACTTCTCTCCAGTGGATGACACTTCACTTTTCAATAATCATGGCCCAATGATACATCTAGTCTATTAATGTGATACATGAACAAATTAGCTAGTTAAATTTAAAGTGTAATTAGTGGCAAGAGTGAATAAAAACTAACTTTATATCTGTTCAAAAAGATGTTCTTATTCCATAGTTGATTTTCGTACCAAGCAGTGGAATTTCCAAATTTCTGATAAATAAATTACAAGCTACAAATTACTACTGAAAGGTACAAATCAAAAATAAAAAAGAAAGGACAACTGTATGAGATATACTAGGTTTGTTTGCGAAAGTCATTTAAATAATGAGATTTGGGGAAAATATTTTTCTTAAATTCCATATTATATATCTTATAAAGGCATTTAAATATATCTATACATAAAACAATTGGAAATATGTAATAAGGTATTTTTTTATTGTGAAAATACTTTACAGAGGAGTTACAATTACATGGGCAAGATAATGAGTACAGTTCTTATCAAGCATTGTTGCCTCATCCTTTGTTTCCCTTTCCTATCCCTTCCCATCTCCCCTCCCTCCCCCCATTTTAAATGTCTCTGGGGAATTCCTTTTTTGGGGAAAGGGAGGGGTCGGTCATGGGGCTTGAACTCTGGGCCTGGGAGCTCTTCAGCTCAAGGTGAACACTCTACCACTTGAGCCACAGCTCCACTTCTGGTTTTCTGGTGGTTAATTGGAGATCAGAGTCTCACAAACTTTCCTGCCTGGTCTGGCTTTGAACTGTAATCCTCAGATCTCAGCTTCCTGAGTAGCTAGGATTACAGGCATGAGACACTGGTGCCTGGCTAGGGAAATATTTTAAAACTTAAATGGTAAAGTTTGAATAGAATATAGAATGAAAAGATGTAATTTGTATTATTGTTTCCATATTAAGGTATATATTTCTCAAATAAAAGAGCATATTTAGCCTTTTTAAAATGTAAAGTATTTTTAAGCTCAGGGAATTATCTTATCCAGTTTATTTATTACTCAAGATAGTTGAAGTTTCTTAGAAATGGTAAGGAATTGAATATATATTAACATTCTATATTAACATTCTTTTTTTTTAATTTTATTTTATTTTATTTGTGAACATACTGTACAGAGGGGTTACAATTGCATGGGCAGGATAATGCGTACATTTCTTACCAAGCATTGCAGC